GCTGCGCCATTGAAAGCTTCAAAATGACGTTTCTATAAAAGCATTACACCAAATTATTAACTCGACTTTTATGCGAAGAATAAACCATGAGCGTCGTACAAACCGTGTTGTTTTAATTTGCTTGTAAATCGGACGGACGATAGAATGTTGCAGCAGTAAATGAAAATGAACATTAAAATTATTTTTGTTCATATTCCTACAGAAGCAAGGCTATAAAACACAAACCATTACTGTGCGAGTAAAAATGTCTGTTACTTGCATGGTTTCTTAGCAAATATGATTAATGATTTTTACAGCTGTGACATTTTTAATTATTATTTCAAAAAGAATTCAGAATATGACACACAGAAGCTGTTACAGCATGCAAGGCAATAAGAAAATTAAATTAAATTTCATCATAATAATTCTAATTAAATAGCACGTTAACACGTGGTTCTACTAAACTTTTGCACGTGGTTTCAACTTGAGCACGTGGTTTCAACTTAAGCACGTGGTTTATGCGGTTGTAACACGCGTGCGTTAATGATTGAGCTAACTCGTAAATCATTTAATTTTAACAAAATATATAATTCTAAGAATTTCTTTGAGTTTTGTGATAAAGTTATGTGAAATATTTGCTACGTTACAATATGTTTAAGAGTGAAAAAAAAGGTTTGCAGTTTTAAATAGGTTTATTTGAAAAATATCATAACACGTTCATCAATGTGCAGAGTTTTTAAATAAAATTGAAACATCAAGATTCATTTTCAAAAAATAATAATTTACATGGAAAAATAAAAAAAAAAATGATTCTTTTATTTAATGCAACCAAAATAGATCATTAATTACAATATACTTACATTACGTACACGTGTCATTAGATTCATAATATTAATATCATAATCCGTTCTTCCTTGATGAATCAAATTTTGCGATTCTTATAAATCAGTTAGATTCATTGATGGTTCAGCTGAACCTTGATCTTACTGACGAAGTCGTTGAACATTTTTTCGATAACCAGTTTGATCATACTGCCTGTGAGCTTGATAATTTGCAGTATTATCTTTTCCTCGAGTAACAACTGCCTCAGATGGTTGTTGAGTTGCTTTATGAGGGCTTTCCACATCTGTTTCGTCACCATATCAGTTTCATATCCTTCTAACTCGCTTGCTATCTTAATAACGTTATTTTTCATTAATATTTCTTGATAAATTACCAGGTTGACGAATATATTCCTTCTTTGATCATTCATCAAGTTCATCAGGTGATTGTCTCTCGACTTCGGGTGTTGTAACATTCGAACTGTACATTCTGCCGATTGCTCCTGAACTGCTTTATTAATCAATTCAACGATTGATTTTTTGGCTGACATTTTGTTTGACATTTTAAATAAATACTTTTAAAATAAGTTAATTTAAACTCAGTTGAAATTAGAACACTACCCGTTTCATTTGTCACTCTCAAACAATAATTTTAAAATATCAATATAGTCTCGAATTCGGTTAAAATTTGAACATAATGAATCAAACCGATGAAACTTGATTCGTTTATATTAGAATTAAAACAAAGAATAAATGTTATGGGTTCATTAATAATTTATGATTCTTTGTTATAATAATAACTCTAAATGTTTTGTTAAATTTCCTTGCAGGCTTCAGAGGTGGTCTCTGCACTGATCGTAAACATATCAATATTTGTTTCGATGCACTTCAAATGACTTTTTATAATTCTAACAAAATTTTTTTACAATAAAGAATCTGTTAAAGTTTTCTCCCTTTTTTTCATTTTTGGAATTTGAAACCATAAAATTTGACAACAAACTGCCTAATAAATTAATATTCATTTATTTATAGTTGTTAAGCGATAACCATTTTGAATATTACAATTTGTGAAGAATGTATAAATAAATAAATTAATAACCAAGCATCGGACAATGCTTTTTGTCCAACAGTTACAGTCCTAACAACGGACATGTGATCATCTAAGCAGACAGATATCTTCTGCCCTTTAACAAGCGAGAAACTAAAAGCCGGTGTGAATCGTTCAGGTGTTGTTTGTTGTACTTGCTCGCTTGCAACGATGTTCATTAAGAATTATAAGATGAGTTTGATGAAGAAGTTTATCTCAAACCATTTTTAGTATGGAAATTTTGAATCTTGGAATGAATTAATAAAAAAAATATAACAACAAAGATTCACAGTTAAGTA